AGGCGACTCAACTGCACATAACAACAACAACAATGATTCGGTAGGGTTTTAAACTCATTCCCTTTTGAGATTCAAAAAGTGCCCTTTAACTAAGATGCGGAAAGACAGATGCCAAACCACGTGATCTCCATGGAATAGGAACTGAAAAGATACAAGGATCCTCCCAAGAGCCAGCACAGAGAGAAAGCCTCCCCCATCCCCAGCTGGTGCTCTAAATGAGACTTCTTGCCTCCTAAACAGTGAAGAAGTCGCTTTGTTAAAGCCATTCACTTGTGATATTTCTATACAGTTAAGTTGTTGTTTTTGTTGTTATGTGCCTCGAGTAATAGATGACTCATAGCAACCTGAACACTTGTATAACTTCCATCGTTTCTCCAGGTTCATAGGGTTTCTGGAGGCAAGCTTTTGGAAGTGGATGCCACTCCTGCTTCCAAGCTTATTTTAATCAGGAAGCTCCAGCAAACACTGTTCACTAGGGGTAACCATTATCACATTCAACACATCAGTGTCACAGTGTTCAGCATCACAGCAACCACGAGTTCTCTCTGTACTGTACAGGAAGTAGTACTATAAAACTGTAACTAAGACAGTGTATAGTTGACACACACATGCACATGTATCTAAGTACATATATACGGACACACTTAGGCTCTGTAACTGCTTTCTAACTCTTCTTGGCTGATGTGTGAGACAAATGGACCTGGGCTCCCGGGTTCAGGGCAGCGATGGGGGAGGGTGCTCACCGATGTAGCTCTTCAGAAGCGGGTCGATGGGATGGGGCTGGTCCGTGATGAGGAACTTCACAGCTGTGATGACGGTGCTCCGGGTATGCGGCTGGCCTGAAGGATTTGAGCGCGCACTTGGGAAGGTCAGGGACCCACCCTGCCTGTCCTTCCCACAGCAAACCCCTTCTCATCTCTCCAGGGGCTCATGGTATCATTTCCTTAGGAAGCACAGAGTGTACCCCAAGGTCTTTCTGCTGCACTTGAGGGAGTGAGGCTGCCCAATTCTGGGTGACTGCACTCTAAGATGTAAACCAGACTAGCAACCTAGGATGGTGGTCAGCCCAAAGACAGACCCTCACTCAGGCTTTGGGGGCCTGTGCTTGTCAGATACACTGCCTTCATCTATCCGGTGGCTGGTTCTGGTTGGGAAAGCTGATTGTTAATCTCTATTTCACATGTGAAGACACAAAGACCCAGAAAGATTAAGTTCATGTTGAAGATCACTCTCTAGATAAAAAATCCTAAGTGTTAGCTGCTCCATCCCCTAGGCCTGCAACCTCCAAACGACAGAGCTGTGCTTCAGGCAGCCTGAAGGCCAAGGGGAGCCCCCAGAACTCAGAACTTCCCAAAGCTCGAGGATGGAGAGCACTTGTTTGCTTTTTGTTTCACATTCTGGATAGGAAACCTAGAAAAAAGAGCAAAGAAATCCCAACCGTCTCTCTAGCCTGCCCCAGGACAAGCTGCTGCCATCACACAGTGTGACCTAAGTCTGAGCCTCAAGGCAGAAGTTTACATATCTTACTAGTCAGCCTTCTATTTTTACAATCATGGTCTTATGCAGTATTTGTCCTTAGGAGACTGAGTTACTTCACTCAGCATAATGCTCTCTAGACTCTCCCAGGTAATACTGTAGTTTACAAAATCATTGCTCCTTAGTATTGCATAGTGTGAATTTTGAATGCAAATAAATATTAAAAAAAAGTTTACAGTGTGGATTTAGGGTATGAATGAAAGAGTTCCTGAATTCAGACTTGGATGTTTTGCTCTTTCTATGTTGAGTAGATAACTATAATCAAACAGAAGGAAGTGATTTAAAAAAAGAAAAAAAGTAGCAGTGAAGTTAAGGAAAAATAAGGGCAAGAAAATGAAATGAAGGCAAGAGTGAGGGCATGAGGAAAATGCCATGAAGGAAATCTTAGGAAGTTGCTGGGAAGCGGGCCATTTGAGGCTATGAGACCCACAGGCCAGTGTTAATGTGAAACGTGACCAGCAAGTTGGCTCATCTGTGTGCCCGAGACAGAAGCAAACCAGCACTTGGGAAAAGCAGGGCTGTCCCTCATCCCACTGCTCTCACCTCCTGAGACACCTGGTGGAGAGTTACTGTGTGACACAGCCCCAACGTCCTCAAGAATGTCAGAGAGTGCTTTCTTAGGATTCCCGCAACCCAGTAAGGGCTTGACTGTAACGAATCACCCCTCAACCATCAACTCGTGTTAATTAAGCTCCATACATTGTTCCAAACACATTACATATATGACATCATCCAAGTGACCCTACTAAGGGACCAGCTGACCAGCCTTCCCTTTTGGGTTCTTCAATTCTCAGGGGCTTTTCCTCACCCTGCAACCCCACCACCTACCTTCTGCCTCTCAAGCTGCCAGACAACCTGGGGTGCCATATGTCCCCTGCGTTCTTGCTGTGCCCTCAACACCAAGTATGTTCACACATTACAGTTACATTTGCTCTTGGCCCAAGAGAGTTGTGTCTGACCACATCCTTATCCTCCTTTGCCAGGGAGCTGGTTTTATTCTCTTCACTTGGTGTTACCAGGCTTCTCATGGACTGAAAAGGGCAACGTGGAAATTCTATTTACCTGCTGAAGGGCTGTGTCTCCCTCCCAGGGGTCCTCTTTAGCAGGACTGGGAACGCTGTTCTAACCACTCCTCTGCCTCACCTCACTTGCATCCAGACAACTCACATGGCCTGAGAGCCTGGGACACTCAAGAGATAAACTGCCCAGCGTGCCCACACCCCTACCTGCAGCCAGCTGCTTCCGGAAGCGGGGCAGGAGGGAGGAGGGGTTGACCAGTACCAGCTTCCCAATGCACTCGGCCACTACGCTGCGGGCACCCTCCTCAGCACCTTCGCAGCGCTGAAACAGTAGAGCCCAGATGTCCTCCACATAGGGCTTCAGGCTGTCAGGCTGGGCAGCCCCCAGGGCCTCCCTGAGTGAGTGCAGCAGCAGGTACTGGCGCTTCGGCTCTGATTCCATTTGCCCCAAAAGGAAGGGCAGAAAGTCAGGTAGGCTGCCAGCACCCACGCGGCCCAGGGCGTAGGAGGCAGCTGCCCTCACGTCCTCGCTGGGTGACCCCAAGGCTTCCAGGAGTACTGTTTTCAGCTCCCGCTGTGGGCCTGGTCCGGCCACTTGGCCCACCTCAGCCAGAGAAAAGAATGCCAGCACCTTGACCCCTGTACTCGAGTCTGGCGACCGGGCATCACAGACCAGGCGGCTTGCAGTGCCTGCTGCCTCCTGGGGACAGGCGGCTGCCACGGCAGCGACACAGCGGGCCAGGGAGTGAAACACCTGCTTGTGCAGGCCTGGCCCGCCATCCCCATCCTGCTGATACACAGGGGCGGTCAGCAGGTCTATGAGCTTGGCGTAGGCCACGCACGGAGGCCGTGTGCCCACCAGCACCTGCAGGAAGCCCTCAACAGAGGCCAGCACACACGCAGGCAGCAGGGGTGAGCGGAGCAGCCGCAGGAGCTCTGAGAGCACAGGGCCACTGACCTCGGCCAGGGAGGCCGGCTGGGCCTGGGTCACAGTGGCGAGGAAGTCCACTGCCAGTTGGGCCACGTGCATGTCATTCTCGCTGATGAGGGCAGGCAGCTCTGCCAGCACGGCCTGGATGATGGGTGGTGGGAGGCTGAGGCCCTGGCTCTGGGCGAGGGCCTCCAGGGCTGCCAGCGTGGCCAGCCGCAGTGCCCTCTGGTTCTTGCGCAGGAATGAGGCCAGGATGGGCAGTGCCTCGGCCAGGATGGGCTGCAGGTCCACCCGCAGCGGGGACATGGCCACCAGCGTCAGTGCCTTGACAGCAGGCAGTCGGGTGATCTCGTTACGCAGACGGTCCAGCAGCAGCCGTAACATAGGCTCCAGCTTGTCCCCAAGCTGGTCACCCAGGTGGGCCACAAGGTGACCAGTGCAGGAGATGGCCTTCTCCTTCACCTCCTGGTCCAGGTCAGTAGCACGGAGTCGTGCAAGGGTAGCCGCTGACATCTCTGCAATGTATGGCTGAGGGTCCAGGTTCCGAGACTGGCCCAGTGGCCACAGGGCCCTGACCAGCTCCTGCAGCACTAGCAGTGCCTCGGCTGCGATCTTATAGAAAGGGTCGGCCACGCAGGCCAGCACGGGCGGGAAGAGGGTGGGCAGGTGCACGTGGAAGGCCTCAGGCGGCTCCGTGCCCAGCAGCCCCTGCAGAAAGGCCAGCGTGTCCATCCGGATACTAGAAGAATTGGAGCGATCGCCTAGTGAGAAGATAATACCTGCCGGGGGAGGGAGAGAGGTTGCAGTCCCAGATCACCCCATTCCTCCACTCCACTGAAGGTGCGAATGGAGCCCCCTCTGGTGCTGGAGTTGAACTGGGGTACCCCTGGAGTTGATGTGAGGTTCCCCAGAAGTCAGGGTTGAACTGGAGCTAGAACCAAGGGGAACAAAACAGAGAACACATCTGGGACCAGAAGGGGCCTTCACTGCAGCCATGCTGTCCCAGGGCAGGAGGTAAGGTACCACCTGGGGCTGCTGAGCAGGTGCTTTCCCTGGTCCAGGTTGCTCCCTTGGGGGTCCAGGGGCTCCACTGACGTCTGAGTCCCAGTTCCTGGTTCATCCTACCTGACACCAGCATGGCCATGTGCTCCGCCAGGCTGCCCGGGAGGACAGTGTCCAGCTCAGCAAGGAGGCTGAGACAACCCTGGCGGGTCCTCACACTCCGGTCTTTGAGCTGTTGCTTCAGGGCCTTAATAACAAGTGGCACCTATGAATAGATGGCGCAGTCAGGGACCAGGCAAGATTCTGCCCCCAAGTGCCCACACCAGGGCTCACCCAGGTATGTCTCCAGGGACATATGTCCCCAGGGGGGACCCAAGCATGGAGAGGCTCCCTCAAGCTTTGAGCAGTCACTGTGCTGGGCACGTGATTCCCATACCTATACTCTGTGAAAGCCAAACTCCCTCTCATCAAGTGGGTTCTGACTCATAGCGACCTTGTGTGTTAAGAGTAGAACTGGGAGCTCTGGTGGCCTAGTGGCAAGAAGCTGCACTGTAATCCCAGAGGTGGTGAGTTCGAATCCACCAGATGCTCTGCTGGAGAAGGAGGGGCAATCTCCTCCTGTACCAGTCAGATCCAATTTGACGGTACACATACATCATCATCATCATCATCATCATCATCATCATCGAGTAGAACTGAGTTTTCTTGGCTTGAATCTTTATGAAAACACACCACCAGCCCTTTATCTGTGGTGCTGCCGGGCGGGTTTGAACCACCCACGTTTGGATTAGTAGTGCAGACTAGGTGGGTCTGGGACCATTTGTCCCACCCAGGAACCTCAGACCCTGCAAGGCCCAATTAACTGATGGGGGAACAGGTACAAAGAGATTAGGTAGCCTCGTCAAGGTCACAAGCATATGGCGCTCAACCACAGGACGAGGGTGGGAGGGGAAGGTGAGCCAGTCCTTTCCCAGAGGATTACATCCATTCCCACAGCCTAATTGGCAGTGTTCCACCTCCACCCTACCTCTGCCATCTGATATGTGTGCCCCTGCCCGTGTCACACTCAGTGCAGAGCTCAAATGGGTGCCCAGAACCCAAGTCCCCTTCCACTGTCTCTATCATATCAGCCACCATATCACATACTTCCACAGAAACCTCAAATCATGGGCAACTTGGTCCCTCACCTCCACATGCAAACCATCAGCAAAACTTGATGACGCCATCTCACCAAACAAGCATCTCTGGTGTGACCCCTTATCTCTGTCTCCACTGCTGCCACTGAGTTCAAGGTAGTGTCGCCTATCACCTGGACTTCTGGTACTAGGCTGAGCTGCTGCAGCAGCCTCCCGTAACAGCCCTGCGTCTCCTCTTACTCTAATTACAGTTCCCTCTCCACACAGGAACGCAGATTGAAGCCACCTGAGGCTCCGCAGGAGAAGGATGGGCAATCTCCCATGTGATTTGCTGTCTCTGAAAACCCCTTGTAGGGTCAAGAATGGGTCGGTTCTGACTCAGTGGCACACAATAACAATAACTCTACACAGCAGCCAGTTTGAGTTTCTGCAAGAGTAATTTCCTCCAGTGACTTCTGCTTGCTATGAGGACATGACTGCCTGAGGTCTTTCGTATTGGTTGTCTGTGCATGCAGGAGGCATGTTCCTAGCACCGAGTGTATCCCAGGGAAAGCAGTACACCGTGAGGATTGAGCAAAAAGGGAAGGGTGCGTGGGCGGGTGGGTAGGCAGATAAGGAAGGGATGGCTGATGGACAGGTGAGGGGTGGAGATGAGTAGGAAAGTAGAATCACGTCCCACCTGTCCTCGCAGCATGTGGAGAATGCTGGCTCTCTGGGTGGGCTCATCCACGGCCTCCAGCCACCCCTTTGGGGGCCGTGTTTGCCGCAGCAGTGTGGCATAAGCCCCAAACACATCAGCCTTGACATTCTCTTCACGCTCCTTGAAGCGGCAAATGAGCGCAGGTGCCAGTGTGGAGTGGAAGTCTGCCAGCAGGTCAGGCCTCGAACTGATCAAGGATGCCATGCACTTGGCCGCTGCCCGGCGGACCTTCCAGCTCATGTCATCGTCATCACTGTACTCCTCCTCGCTCTCTGCGGGAGGGAACAGGAAACCCATGGATCCTCACACACTCCAGGGGACAGGGGCAAAGGCTGTCTCCAAGGATGGGGCTCACAAAAGGGGTAAAGGGATTGGTGGGAGGAAGCCACACCCTCCAAGTCATGCTACCTACCATCTAATTAACACCTACTGTGCACTGGCGTTGGCGCCAAGCACCTCAAATAAACCATCTCACCTTGGCATCATGTCAATCTTTCAAGACAAAGTCTATCTCTCCCCTATAGACATGAGGAAAGCAAGGCTCACAGAAGGAAGTGGTTTGCCTTACATTATACCAGTAGGGAAAGATATGAAGTTAAAGCAAGGTTCTTCTTCTGTCTTCAAACTGGCTATGGACTGAGCTGTGTTCTCAAAAAAAGTTATGCTGCAGTCCACAAAGATCCTACACCCTACTTTGGTGAGCAGCAGCTGGGGCCTTAAAAGCTTGTGAGCAGCTATTTGAGGTGCAAGGTGTCCTCCTGTCCAAAACAAAGAGGGAAGAAAAGCAGAGATGTATGGAGACGAGTAGTCCAAAGGACTGAGGGGCCCCGAGACCAGAACTCTAAAAGGCGTTACAACTGAAAAGCCTGTATTTGGGGGGGACAGGAGGTGGGTAAAATGAGGGACAAAATGAAAAAATAGAAAAAAGACCAGGCTTATCTGGGGTGAAAATATGTACAGACTTTGTACGTAAACCAGTATAAAATAAAAATTTTATTTAAAAAAAATTCAGCTGAAATGCTAAAAAAAAGCACAACAAAAGACTAGGTTTACCAATCTGATCGAGATTGGTGGAACTCCTAAGGCCACGGCCTCTAGTTAACCCCGGAACTTGGACTAAAACTCACCCCCATGGCTCAACTTTCAGCTAAACAATAAACCAGGCCTATTAGGTGAGTAATAAACCAGGAAAGTCTGATTAAAGACTTCACTCCTTAAAATAACCAACCATATAAAGTAAAAAAGGGCAGCATTTGTCCAAGGATAAAGCTCTGAGACCAGAAAGGGTATATATAAAAGAGGGTATATAAAAGAATTATGCTTCACAGGAGAAAGATGGGCAATCTCTTTTGTGAATACTACCTCTGAAAATCTGCCGGAGGGTCAGCTATGAGTCAGTTCCGACTTGATGGTACACAACAACAAACCACAAGAGAATGGTGAGACAATACATTTCTGTCATTGTAAGCAACCTACCTTGTAGTACTTTGTTATGACAGCCCTAGGAGACTAAGACAAAGCCCTTAACTTTTTAACTACCCTAGATTAACAATCTCCGTTATGCTGATGACACAACCTTGCTTGCTGAAACTGAGGAGGACCTCATGCACTTGCTGCGAAGGGTCAAGGACTGCAGCCTTCAGTATGGACTGAGGCTCAATGTCAAGAAGACAAAGATTCTTGCCACTGGACCAATTGGCAGCGTCAGGATGGATGACGAAGAGATTGAGAGTGTTCACAGCTTCAGTTTGCTCGGCTCCACAGTCAACACTCTCGGTACCAGCAGTCAGGAAATCAAAAAGCGTATCGCGATGGGAAAGTCTGCTGTTAGGGACCTCTCAAAGGTACTCAGGAGCAACAGTGTCTCTCTGGAGACTAAGGTGTGCCTGATACAAGTCATGGTATTTGCAATCGCTTGTTATGCATCAGACAGTTGGACAATGACTAGGGAGGACAGAAGGAGAGTGGATGCTTTTGAGCTGTGGTGCTGGAGAAGGGTACTGAATGTACCATGGACTGCCAGGAAAACAGATTCATCTAGGAGAGGATTAAACCAAGCTACTCCTTGGAGGCAAAGATTCTGGGGCTTCGTCTGACATACTTTGGACATGTTGCCAGGAGGGACGGGTCCTTGGAGAGGGACATCATGCTTGGGAGGGTGGAGGGACAGCGCAGGAGGGGAAGACCCTCTATGAGATGGATTGATTCGGTGACTGGGGTAATCGGGATGGGTGTGTCAGCGGCGGTGCGGTTGGCGCAGGATAGAGCAGGGTTTAGGGCTGTTGTTCACAGGGTCGCTATGAGTCGGAAACGACTCGACGGCACATAACAACAACAACAACAGAGGAACCCAAGTTTGCATTGAAGATTTGAAAGAATTCATTTGGATATAAGAACCATCCTTTAATTGCACAACATGCTGTGTGACATTTCACTGACTAGGATTCCAGACAGAGCGGTGACAAATCCACCCATCCCAGCTTAAGGATGTAACTCCTGGCTTCCCCACAGCGCTAATAGTCAGAAATTTCTGGGCACGTGACATTCCTGTTTTTCTGTTTTTTTCCTTTTTGGGGCAGTGTAACTTTTTTTTTTATTGTCATTCATTCATTGTTGCATATTTTCCTTCCTCCCCTCCTCCCCTTTCCCCAGTGAACTCTCTCTTTTTAAAAACATTCTTGTTGCACAATTTCCTCCCTCCTTTAGGCCACACTTTGCAATGTATCTCTTCCTCTGGACTACTTGTCTTACACATAATGGCTAATCATCTATTGCTTTTAAATAGTTCTTTTCTTCATCTGTTCCAATGCAGTGTTGATTATCTGTCTACTCTTTTCTTATTCTTGTTCCAAGCCCCCATGTCAGTTATGATTTATAACAGTGTTATTATGCAGTATTTATCTTTTGTGACTTAGATATTTCATCCAGCATAATGTCATCCAGGGTCTCCCATGTTCTGTTATGTTTTATGTGTTCCTTGTTTTTCAGTGCTGTGTAGCATTCCATTGTGTGAATATACTATACTTTTTCTCTTCATTCATTTTCTGATGGGCACTTGGGTTACTTCTATCTCTTTGCTATTGTGAATAGTGCAGCAACAAACATGGGTGCACATACATCTGTTTGGATGGCAGTTCTGGTTTCATTAGTTGTTGTTTTTTTGTCCCCTTTCTTTATCTTTTCTTGTTGTGCGGTATCCGTTTGATCCAGCTGGCACAAGAGGATATTGCCCATCCTTCTCCAGCGGAGCATCTGGTGGATTCAAACCATATGCCTTCAGAATTGCAGTGCAGCTTCTTGCCCCTAGGCCACCAAAGCTCCCTCTGGTTTCTTTAGGGTATATTCCTAGTAGTGGAATTGCTGGTTCAAATGGTATTTCTAGCTCCAACTTTTTGAGAAAGCACCATACCGCCTTCCATAGTGGGTGCACCATTTTACATTCCCACCAGCAGTAGGAATCTCTCCACAACCTTGCCAGTGTTTGTTGTTTGCTGCTCTGTTCAACTTTGCTGTCATTGCTGAGGTGAGGTATCTTATAGTTGTTTTGATTTGCATCTCTCCGTTAGCTAGAGATTTTGAACATTTCTTCATGTGTCTGTCATCTGAATGTCTTCTTTGGTAAAGTATCTATTCATATCATGTGCCCATTTTGCTATTGGGTTGTTTACCTTTTTCTTGTTGAGGTGCTGAAGTATTCTATAAATTTTAGATATGAGTTCCTTATCAGAAATTTCATTACTAAATTTTTTCCCAGTCTGTGAGTTTCCTTCTTACCCTATTGTAAAAGTTTTTGGATGTGCATAGGGATTTGATTCTTTGAAAGTTCCATTCATCTATTTTATCCTCTCCTGGTTGTAGGTTTTTCAGGATGCTTGGAAGACTGTTCATACTGTGGATTAGGGCTTCTAGAGTTCTTCCAAGCTTTTCTCTGATAAAGTTTATAGTCTTTAGTTTTACTCCTAGGTCCTTGATCTACCTTGAGTTTTCTACAGATATTTTTCCAATTTTGCCAACAGCATTTGTTAAAAAAGGCTGTCATTTCCGCAATTAACTGATTTAGTCTCCTTGTAAAAAATCAAGGTAGGCAGATCTACCATAGGTAGATAACTTATGAATTCTCAATTCTGTTCCTTTGAGCTGTGTGTCTGTCACTGTATACATTGTTTTGACCACCATGGCTGTGTAGAAGGATTTGCAGTCGGGGAGTGAGAGGCTTCCTACCTTGTTCCTCTTTTTCAGGAGAGCTATACTTATTTGGAAGTCTCTTTCCATTCCAGATAAAGCTGGAAATTACCTTTTCCATCTCACTGAAGAATGGAATTGATATCTGTATTGGGGTTACATTGAACTTGTAGATTGCCTTTGGGAGAACTGTCATTTTCACAATATTGAGTCTTCCTTCCCAAGAACATGGTATATTCTTCCATTTCTCTAGGTATCTTTTTGTTTCTTATAGTTGTTGTTATGTGTCATTGAGTCACCTGTGACTCATAATGACCCTAAGTATAACAGCCCTAAAACCTGCTATATCCAGTGCCAATCTTAGTGTCTCTAACACACCTACTCCCATTGCCCCAGTCATTAAACCAATCCATCTCAAGAGTCTTCCTCTCTTGCGCTGTCCCTCCAACCTCCCAAGCATGACATCCTTCTCCAAGGACTGGTCCTGTCTTGCAACATGTTGAAAGTATGTCAGATGAAGCTTCAGAATCCTTGCCTCCAAGGAGCAGCATGGTTGAACCTTCTCCAGGATAAACCTGTTTATTCTCTTAGCAGTTCATGGTATATGCAATACTCTTCTCCAGCACCACAGCTCAAAGGCATCAATTCTCCTACTGTCATCCCTAGTCATTGTCCAGCTCTCTGATGCATAGCAAGTGATTGCAAAGACCATAGCCTCTATCAGGTGCACCTTAGTCTCCAGAAAGACACCATTGCTCTTCAGTACTTTGGATAGGTCTCTGACAGCAGACTTTCCCAATGCAGTATGTCTTTTAATTTCCTGGATGCTGGTGCCAAGAGTGTGATTGTGGAGCCAAGCAAACTAAAGCTGTTTACAATCTAAGTCTCATCACGATGCTGCCAATTGGCCCAGTGATGAGAATCTTTGTTTTCTTGATATTGAGCTTCCATCCATATTGAAGGCTGCAGTGCTTGACCTTCTGCAGCAAGCGCTTCAGATCCTTCTCAGTTTCAGCAAGCAAGGGTTGTGTTATCTGCATAATGCAGATTGTTGATGAGTCTTCCTACAGTCTTGATGCCACATTTCTCCTCATAGAGCCCAGCCTACTCTGTTCTGCATATAGATTGAAAAGCTATGGAGACAGGACACATCCCTGGTATACACCCTTCCCAGTTTTGAACCATGTAGTGTTCCCTTGCTCTGTTCTGATAACTGCTTCCTGGTCCAAGTATAGGTTTCACAAAAGCACAATCAATTGTTCTGGGATTTCCATTCTTCTTAGAGTTAGCCACAGTTTGTTGTGGTTCACACAGTCAAATGTTTTTGTATAGTCAATGAAACACAGAGATGCCTCTGATAATCCCTACTTTCAGCCAAGATCCATTTGACATTAGCGATAATATCCCTAGTACCACAGCCTAAAACCCTAAACCCAGCCTGCACTTCTAGCAGTTCTCTGTTGATGAGCTGTTCCAGTAATTTTTGGATAATCTTCAGAAGAATCTTGCTTGTATGTGATATTAATTATATTGTTCAGTAATTTCCACACTCTGTGGGATCACCTTGAGTGTTTTGTAATTTTCTTTGTATAAGCTCTTTTGTGTCTCTAGTTCGATATGCTGCCAAGTATTTAATCTTGTGATTAGCTATTGTGGTGGGTGTTGTTTTTCTTAGCTTTTTTTAAAAAAAATTTTTCTTTGTCACTGCAGAGAAATGCAAGTGATTTTTGTATGTCAATCTTATATCCTACCACTCTGTTGAATGGGTAGACTATGTCCAGGAACTTTCTCACAGAGTCTTTTGTGTTTTCTAAGTATGCTATCATATCATCTGCATATAGAGATAGTTTTACCTCCTCTTTGCCAATTTATAGTCCTCTTATTTCCTTTTCTTGTCTTATTGCTCTTGCTAAGATTTCCAATACAATATTGGATATATTGTATTGAAAATATATACAGCTTCTTGTATATATATTCTTTAATTCTTCATTATGCCCAGAAAATTTTCTTCTACAAATTCTTCCACAACTCTATCAGTGCCTTTCCCCCCCTTCTTCCCTTTGTGAGATTCCAATTATGCACATGCTATTCTTCTTGATGGTGTCCCACATTATTCTTAGGTTTTCTTCTTCTTTCTTCCTTTTTGATTCTGTTTTTTTGTTCCGGCAGATCAGTGGTGAGAACTCTTATCTTTGTTTTGGTATTTCTGTGTTCTACCTCTGCTCATATGTCCCTCCAACATATTGACAGCATCTGAGACACTGGTCTTCATACTCTGCATTGCAGTCTCTAGTTTTCCAGACTTTCTAATGCCTCCTTTGTCTTATATGCATTGTCTTGGATTTTTTTTTTAAAGTTTCTCTTGACTTTTGCTTGTTTGTTTGTTGTTATGTGCTGTCAAGTCACTTGTGACTCATAGTGATCCTATGTACAAAAGCTCTGAACCCTACTCTATTTTGAGCCAACTTTATTGTCTTGGACACACCTATCTCCATTACCCCAATCACTGAGTCAATCCATTTCATCCAGGGTCTTCCTCTCTTGTACGGTCATTCCACCTTTCTGAGCTTGATGGCCCTCACCAAGGACTGGTCCCTCCCTGCAACATGACCAAAGCAGTCAGACTTTGGAACCCTTGCCTACAAAGAGCAGCCTGGTTTCACCCTTTCCAGGACAAACCTGTTTCTTCTTCTAGCAGTCCATGGTATATTCAATACTTTTCTCCAGCACTACAAATCAAAGATAACAATTCTCCTCTGTCATCCTTAGTCATTGTCCAGCTCTCTGATGCATAGCAAATAATTGCAAAGACCATGGCCTGAATCAGGAACACCTTAGTCTCCAGATTGACATCATTGCTCTTCAGTTCTCTGGAAAAGTACCCCCTAACAGCAAATTTTCCCAATGCAATTCATCTTTTGATTTCTTAGCTGCTGGTACCAAAAGTGTTGGTCATGGAATCCTGTAATTCTTTGAATTAGTTTTTCACCCATTTAAAATATTCAATCATTGTTTTTTTTAATTTTCTGTCAGAAAGTTCCAACAGATTTTTTTTTTCTTTAGGAAATCCCTTGATTCTGTGTTTTGATCAGGTTTTTTGGGTAACATCTTCCCTTGGTTTTATGTAGAGTGTGCGTGCAGTAGCCGGCTTCTTCCGTGTCATTGCTGTGGTGATTTCTTGCTTGGGGGGCCTAGCAGGACCTTAATCTGATGACCTTCACTCAGGAGCTCACTGCTCTAAGGACAGCTCACATTGCCTGAATTTTTCTCTGATCTCAAGGGGAGACTTGCTTCAATTGGGGAGCTCAATACACTATTAGAGAAAGGCAGGACAACTCACACTGCCTGTAGTTCCTTCCTCTCTGGTCCTGTGGGAAAGTTATTTGGGTCTGGGGACCAACTGCTTCTGTTCCTCTCTGGTTCTGCAACTAAGTTCTCTGGAGTGGATGGTTCTTTTTTCTGGTTGCTGCTCTCTTTCCTGAAGTCTATTGTTCTCTTTGGTCTGCAGAGTGATGCAGCCAGATTCCTCGACTCTTCTCCACTCTGATGGTTCAGGAGGAAGGACTTTGTCTTGACCTTCTGTTCTAGGACTGTATTTCTGTAGCTGCTGATTGCTGGAGCTTTTAAGGTAGTGTGTGTGGCTGATGAAGCAGAATGATGTCTCAAGCAAAACCAAAGTCCTGGCTGGATTCTGAATGTTGTTATCCATCCCCCCCACCCCCCGCCATGGCCTAGCACAGCAGGCCTCATAGTGCAGCAAGGTCCCAAAGGGCGTTCTCCTCCTCTGCTGGCTTTGGGTAGGGCTCGGGGTGCCAGAGGGGTGGTTGGGAATCAATGGCGGCATCACCTGTTAGGATGGTCTGTGAATTAGTCCCCTTCTGGGCCAGCAAGCTGCTGCAGTGTGGTTTCCTGTTCTATGAGCACTCTTTTCTTTGGCTGGGTGGGTAGTGGTGGTGGAGCAGAGCTAGAAAGTCCCTGGGAAAGCTGCCTCCCACTCCACCCTTTAGCCCCACGACACTTGGCTACTTACCTTGCTCACTGAATTCGCTGTCCTCAATCTCCATCTGCTCCTCATCCCCATCACTGTCATAGTTATAGTTTGGGTCATGCTTGAGGTACTGAAGGCAAAGGTTGGTGACGGTGGGCACGTGAGGGCCCATCTCCTTGGGGCACCTACAGGTGGGATGAGGGAAACTCCACTGGGTCCAGGTGGGTTGGGTTGGGAATGGGGATGAAGAGTGAGCCCTGGACTGTCAATGCTCTGATGTCACTGCCCTCCTTCCGGTCCCACCACTTCCCAAGAAGCCCCGTAGTCCTGCCTCTGTCTCTATGCTGCACCTACTTCCTCAGAAAGGCCTCCAAGGCCTGGAGGCAGGACTCCCGGAGCTCGTCATCATCCACACTGCAGAACTTGTCCACCAGGGGCACCAGGCGGTTCAGATGGCTGCCTGCAGGGACAGCAGGACACTGACAATGAGCAACTAGCCCAGGGCCTCTGCAGTCCCCACATCTTGGCCTGTCCTGGCAGCCCTGAGAACAAACCTTCACCAGAGACCTGAGAGCCAGGCGGACACAGGTTCTAGTCCCAACCAACCAAGAGCTATGGGGCCTCAGGAGTGATCACACTACTCTGACCCTCAGTCCACTTATCTTAGGGGCAAAATCAGACAAAGTTTGTTACAGTTGGTGATATGACATAGGTAGAGGCAAGCGAGTTCTGGCATGTGGTGGATACTCAGTAAGTAGCAGCTGTAATCTGTTCTAGTCTGGAACTTCCCAGTGCCTGAGAATTCTAATGTAATTCTATATATAGAAAATGAAAACGAATCCACAGTGGACTGGCCAGTGGTTGCAGGAAGACACGAGGGAAGGGGAGGGCCTGGGAAGGAAACTTTTGGGGTGGTGAAATATTCTTTGTCAGTTGTGGTGGCAGATTCTTGAGTGTATGCAAAGTTAAAATACTGAATTATATAGGCTTAAGACATTGTAGTTTCTAAGATGTAAATGATCACACCATAAAATTGCTTAAAAATTCAGATTTGGCTTTTGAGTTTGTACTGAGGTATATTTGCTAAGTACGTTGTTATGTGCTGTGGAGACAAGAGTCCTTTCATAGCTGACCCTCCAGTTGTTTTTCAGAGGCTGTAAATCAAGAGGGGATTGCCTGTCTCTCTCTCACGGAGCAGCTGGCCGACTGGCAGCCTACCGATTGGCAGCACGACGTCATACCACTAGGCCACCAGCCTGTAAGTATAGAACATATTTAACAAGGTGGTGGTATCATAAAGAACTATTTCTAATTACCCACGAGGAGTTCTGGTAGCCTAGTGATAAGAAACTGTGCTTCAATACCAAAGGCACGCGGTTCAAATCTACCAGCTTCTCTGAGGAAGATAGACAATCTCCTCCCTTGCTATTTACTGTCTCTGAAAATCCGCGGGAGGGTCAGCTATTAGTATTGACTCGACAATTACCTAGGAGCCTGTGGTAGGTCCAGAGGTGGCTAATCAATGCCCCTGTCCCTTCTCCCCACCCACCGCAGGGTCCTGCACTAGGCAGTTCAGCAGGGTTCAGCAGGTGCTCAGGATAGTACACTCTTCGCCCTGGATCCACTCCAAGCCTACAGCCCTTGGCTCCTTCTTTTTTTAAAAAATTATTTTTGTGTGTGTGTGTGTGTGTGTGTGTGTGTACTGTCAAATCAGATCTGACAGGTACAGGAGGAGACTGCCCCTCCTTCTCCAGCAGAGCATCTGGTGCATGTGAACCGTCTACCTTTGGGATTGCAGTCCTTGGCTCCTTCTTAACCCCTCTGCCAGGATCTCTCCCAGCCCCTCTACACCCAGGCCCCGCCTCTTGCCAAGGACCCGCTCTCTTAAACAGGTTGTGGGTCAGGCCCCGCCCCTTGCCGAGGACCCATCCCCTTCCTTACCTAGGCGGTGGCCAGCTAGGCGGCCTACGCTGCCCAGACACTGGATCAGGGTGCGCACTGTGGCAGGGCTGGCGGGAGCCACCTGAGAGTCGGGCAGCTGGTCCAGCAAGTGGTCGGCGAGTTCGATGAAGAGGTCGGTGCTGCAAGCTGCCGCCAGGTGGCCGAGCGCCCCGACAGCCCGCTTGCGCACAGCCAGGCGTGGGCTGCTCAGCTGTGGCAGCAGGCAGTGCAGGAGGCTGGCGTGGAAGGCGCCCAGTGGGGCGCCCAGCCTGTGGGGTCCGCGGGAGAGAAGCGTCAGGCCAGCCACTAGAAGCAGCTTCCCCATCCCGTCCTGCCTTTCACCCGGAATGGTGACAGCCACTGACCTTTGTGAAACGGAAAGATACCCTGCAACTGTGAGGCGCAATTATTACTACTTCTGATGGCTTAGCGGAAAGGAGCTGCGCTGTTAACCCAAAGGCACGAGGTTCAAATCCACAGCTGCTCCGGGGAGGGAGATGGGTGGTCTCCTCCTATGCGATTTACTCACTCCCGAAAAGCTGCAGGAAGGTCAGCTCTTGGTGGGTTCTGATTTGATGATACACAGTTGCATGCTTCCTGGCCATCCTGCCAGGCCTATGCCAGGACTTGAACCCAGGAGTTTGGGCTCCCAGCCAGGGAGACCACCTGACAGTTATGGTAGGTGGGAGTTGGGTTCTCCTGTGGGGGACAGAGGTTTAAGGTATCCAGGCCTTGCCTCAAGGCCCTAGCCACATTCTGTCCTCCTCTGATACAAGGATGATGTCAAATCTACCTTTACCTGGTCACTCCTTTGCTTAACCCCACAGGCTCCCCTGTCCCTCTGGATAAACTGAGCTCTGGGATACAATGTACCTCTCTCACCACTCCAAGTCCAGCGCTTAAATAGGACCTGAATTCACTTGTTCATCCATCCACCTCCCACATTTTCTCCATATTGCTGATGGAAAGACTAGTCATAGTACAGAGATATGTGCACAGTAGTCCTCAGTCTCTGGCCCAAACCCCTCACACCTTCAGGATAACTTTCAGTGTCCCCCTCCTCAAAGGCTCCTGCCCACTCAACCCTCTGGTTTCATCTCTCCACAACCACTTCCCTCAGCTCCATGACCACCTGGCAGGACCTGCAAGATGCCACCTGTTCTTCTGCCTCTTCCTCTCTGCTGGGACAATCTCTCCACAGCATTCTCCTGTGCCCACCAAACTTGGCTAAGTGACCCATTCCTGAAGGTTCAGTGGTGGCAGGGCCTCTCAAGGAAGGTACCCTGTCCCTTGCTGGGTTAGAGGCTCCTCTGAACTCCTAGAGGCCCTACTCGTATCCTTACTGCTTACAGTTTTACCATGTTTTCTTTTTTCGATGGTGAGCTCCTTCATATGCTCATCCGCAACTCTCTATGCTCAACACTAGTTCACATCTGATATAGTCAAGTCTTGGGAGGTTGCATAAATGAATGAAGACTTAAAAAATGTTCAATGTTTTATCTGGTGTATTATCATAGTATTTGTTTTCCACAAACTCTGTAAACTTTCTAGAACAAGGAGAATGCATTGCTTTCGTTTTTGTTTTGATGGTTATGATAATGATGTTGATAATCTATATAAACAATTGGTTACAAACACTTGGGCAAGGGATCTGCCCAGTTGGGGTGCTAAATAGAAGTTTGTTGGTTAAAAATTCAGCACATAATTTTAAAGATGAAAAGTCACTTTTATGTGAAAAGCAAGGTGCTGCGTAATTTAAAACAGACTCCTGGCGACCTTCTGTGTCTACGGAGTAGAACTGTTCTGTGAGGTTTTTTGGCTTTATGCATCTGAGAGCTGGACGATGAACAAGGATGATAGAAAAAGAACTGACGCCTTTGAGCTGTGGTGTTGAAAGAACACCGAACATCCCATAGACAGCTAAGAGAAGAAATGCAGATGTCTTGGAGAAGGTGCAGCCGGAGTGCTCTTTGGAGGCAGGAATGATGAGGCTTTGCTTCACATACTTTGTGCATGTTGCTAGGAAGGTCTGTTCCTTGGAGAGGGACATGATGCTGGGAAGTGTGGAGGGTTGATGAAGGAGAGGAAGACCCTTGACCAAGTGGATTGATGTGGTGACTGCCACAATGCGCTCTTGTGTGTCATGAAGTGTGTGAGGATGGCACAGGATAGAATAGGGTTCAGATCTCTTGTTCTAGGGTTGCTATGAGTCATACTTGACTTGATGGCACCTAACAACAACAACAAAAATTTTTATAGAAGAGGACAGCCAAGCCTTTCTTTCATGCTCCAGTCTTTAGGTTTGTGGTCAAGTGCAGGCTGTGTGCTTCATCAGGGGACCTGACCTTAAAACAGAAGCCCAGAAGTTGTTGTTAGGTCCACTATGACTCTCAGTGACCCTACGAACAATGGATATGAACCACGCCCTATCCTGCACCATCCTCATCATCTCTGAATGCTTGAACCCATTGTTACAGTCCCTGTGTTAATCCGTCTCCCTGAGGATCTTCCTCTCTTTCTCTGACCTTCTACTTTTCTCACGTAATATCTTTTCCCAAGCAATCAGCCCCTTCTAACAACATGTCCAAAGGATGAGATGAAGTTTTGCTATCCTCGCCTCAAAGGCGCACCCTGTTTGCACTTCCTCCAAGATAGGTTTGTCCTTTTGGTGGCATATTCAGTACTCTCTGGCAACACCACAATTCAAAGGCATGGGTTTTTCTTCAGTCTTCTGTGGTCGTTGTCCAGCTTTCAGATGCATAGGAAGCAACTGAAAATACTATGGCTTATATCAGATGCACCTTAGTCTTTAAACCGACATCCTTGCTCTTTAGCACTTTGGAGAGGTTGCTGATAGTGGATTTCCCCAATGTAGCACATCTTTGGATATCTTGACTGCTACCAAGTGTTGACTGTGTAGCCAAGTAAAATAAAATCTTTGACAACTTCATTCAGTCTTTTCCCCACCTTTCATGATGTTGCCCATCAGTCCAGTGGTGAGAATTTTTATTTTCTTGATGTGGAGATGTAAGCCATATTGAAGGCTATAACGTTTGATCCTCTGTGGTAAAAGTGCTTTTTAAAAAAATATTTTATTTTATTTTATTATTTTTGTGTGAGTGTACTGCCAAATCGGGTCTGACTGGTACAGGAGGAAATTGTCCATCCTTCCCAGGCAGAGCATCTGGTGGATTTGAACCATGCATCTCTGGAACTGCAGTGCAGCTTCTTGCCACTAGGCCACCAGAACTCCCCTAAAAGTGCTTTAAGTCTCTGCCACTTTCTGCACACAAGGCTATGTCATCTGCATATCAGGTTGTTGATGAGCCTTCCTCCCATCCTGATGCCTCATTCTTTTTCAGAGAGTCCAGTTTCTTGAATGATAAGGAGAAGGGATACAAGCCTGACACACACTTACTCTGATTTTGAATCATGCAGCATTCCCTTGCTCTATTTGAGCAATTGTTTCTGGTTTATGTAAAGGTTTCCCACAACATTATGAAGAATCCCAGCACACTTAATTGTTCTCATTAGAAACCTACACAGAGAAGCCTGGACATATCAGGCCCCAAAAAATAAGATAAAGAAAGAAGCATATGGGAGGGGAAAATGCAACAAACATGGTCTTTACCGACAGACACTTGAGTTAAAATCTGAAATACTGCTGTTTACCGACAGTGTGGTCCTGGACAAGCTATGCATCCCTGAGTTGCTATATACTAAAGTTGTGATAGCTGAGTTTTTCCTTGCACGGCTGCTGGAATGGCTCCTGATCTCCGAGCACAGAGCCTCTAGCACAGGGCAGTGGAGCTGGTTCCGTGAACCTGAGCCTCTTCTACTTCCTCTACCTTCCCCTCCCATCCTCACTGTCTTCGGTGGCCTCCATACCTGCTCAGCATGTCAGAGAGAATGTCCAGGGCTTCCAGCTGCAAAGCCACGTCCTCCTGCTGGGCAATGGCACTGGTGAGCTGGCCTGTGATTTTGCGGCACACGTTGGTGGCCAGGCTGGAGCCTGCACAGGGCACAAGGCAGATCGTGAGGTCCAGGGCTGGCGAGAGATGGCCTCCAACCCTGGTCTATTCATCTTTGCTCTGGTTGGGTTCCTCATGCCATGTCCCCAAGAATCCTGTTGATCCAGGGAAGTCATGACTTGAGTGATCTAAGCAAAGTCTGACTCATATTCAGGCCAAATTAAAGGAGACAGCTATAGGAGCAGAGAACTGGCAATAGACCTGCTTGACTTGCCCACCCTGCCCTCAACCTCCACTTTCCTGCCCTCAGAAGAGTTAAACACTTGCCTTCTCATTCCCCTTCATTGTGAGAAATGGTCAGGTGACTCAGGTCTAGCCAATAAGTAGACACTTCCTAGAGGCTTCTGGGAAAACTTGTCCTTATCTTATGAAAGGTACATAGACATCAACCCTATAACTAAATTATTACATGAATTGCTGAAAAATTTGAGCAGCTGATCCTTCCAATGTTACAATGAGAAGGGAAAGCCAAACTCAAATCATCAAGCTGCCACTAGTTAAATTTTTCTGTTGCTTTCAGATAAAAGCCTTCTTAATTGGTGTACAGTCACGGGCTTAAAGAGATCTAGATCTCGATTTCCTATCTGGCATTTGCCTTAGGTAAGTCCTTTTTTCCTTCAGAAGACCTCAGTTTCCTCATCTGTCAACTGGGTTGAAAAATAAGAGTACCTACTCCCTGAATCCTGGGTCCAGGGGTTTGGGTACCTGTGGCGGCAGGGGGGAGCTCCGAGAGGACCGTCTTGAGGCCGATGCCAGCGATGTCTCGGAGCTGTTCCTTGTCTGACCGCATGTTGGCACAGAGGGTGTCCACAATGGTTTCCACCTGGTACTCCTTCACTTTGCCCACCAGAGGACCCAGGCTGAGCAGAGAAGAGAGGAAGCTGCAGACTCAGCCCGAGTCCATCACCCCTTGTGCCCATACTGCTTTGTGCCATGTGGTTATGTTGTTGTTATGTGCCGTCGAGTCGCCTGCGACTCATAGCGACCCTTTGTACAACAGCCCTAAACTCCGCTCTGTCCTGTGCCAATCGCACTGTCTCTGACACTCCCATCCCAATTATCCCAGTCACTGAATCAATCCACCTCATAGAGGGCCTTCCTCTCCTGCGCTGTCCCTCCACCCTCCCAAGCATGATGTCCCTCTCTAAGGACCGGTCTCTCCTCACAACATGTCCAAAGTAAGTTAGACGGAGCCTCAGAATCCTTGCCTCCAAGGAGCCACCCGGTTTAACCCTCTCCAGGACAAATCTGTTTGTTTTCCTAGCAGTCCATGGTATTCTCAATACTCTTCTCCAGCACCACAGCTCAAAGGCATCAGTTCTCCTTCTATCCTCCTTGGTCATTGTCCAACTCTCTGATGTATAACAGGTGATTGCGAAGACCATGGCCTGTATCAGACGCACCTTAGTCTCCAGAGAGACACCACTGCTCTTCAGCACTTTGGAGAGGTCCCTAACAGCAGACTTTCCCATGTCAATGCGCCTTTTAATTTCCTGGCTGCTGGTGCCAAGACTGTTGACTATGGAGCCAAGCAAACTAAAGCTGTGTATAATCTCAAGAGGGAAAAACCATGGATCTACAGGGAACCTCCTGCTTTGCCACAAAGAGAAGACCCTTGGGGTATACCATGGCACCTCCAAAACCTGCATCTCAGTGTGTGGCCAAACCACTAGATTCAGGAACCTCAGCTGGAAGTCATAGCCTGCAGGGCTTATTAAAACCTACCAGGAGCCCCGCTCCCAGAGCTTCAGATTTAAGAGGCCCGAGTGAGCCTACACCCTTGGAAGAGTCTGCACTTCTGCCAAGTTCCCAGATGCTGCAGCTCATCTGAAGATGGTATTTTGAGGACTCTGAGTGTGGAAATGGATTGGCATTATCAGCAGACTTTCACTTTCCTATGAAATGTCAACAAGGTCTCCAGGTTATTTGAATGCACAGTTGGAAAGGGGCTGCACTAGACTCACAGTACTGGTAGTCAAGAAATCAAAATAGATGTTGCAGTAGGGAAATTAGTTGCCAGGGACCTCTCCAAAGGGCTGAAGAGGAGGGACACTAGTTTAAAGCCTAAGGTGTGTGTTATCCAAGCGATGGTCTCTTCGATTGCTTGCTACACATCTGAAAGTTGGATAACAGAAGAAGAATCGATGCCATTGAATTGTGATGTTGAAAAGTAATGAATGTCCCACAGACTGTCAAAAGAATAAAGAGATATCTTGGAGAAAGTGTAAACAGAGTGTTCCTTGGAAGCAAGGATGGTGAAGCTTCATCTCCCATACTTTGGGCATGTTGCTAGGAGGGGTCCGTGGAGAAGAACTTCATGCTTGGAAAGACAGAGGGTCAGTGTTAGAGAGGCTGACCTTCAACAAGATGGACTGGCACAGTGGCAATTGCAGCGGGCTCAAGTCTATCAGAGAGGGTGAGGAAGGGCCAGGATTCAATTGGGCCCCAGGGGGGCATTCTCAACTGGATGGCACCTAATAACAACAGCACTAGACCCAGGCTTACAACCTTAGCTGTGCCTGCTATCACCCACCCAGGCCTTCATCCTCAACCTCTCAGCTCCTTCAAGCACCCAGTATCTTGAATTTGAACACTGAAGGATGGGTAAAGAATACTCAGATTTAGCATGGGCTACAGATGATTCTAATGCACACCAAAAAGTCTAAGCTGACTCCTTCCACTTCTTTCTCCATCAGCTCCTCTCTCTAAAGATATCACTTGGTCCTGTCTGCTGTATTATTGATTTTCAACAACACAGGCATTCTGGAAGTTTGTGGGGACTTCCCCCCCATCATAACTATGGAGTTAGTAACTCTGACTTTTTTTGGAGGAAGGAGAATTGCCTCATGACCTGTAAAACATTCTCACATCTCCTTGAAAGTCATATACAAACAAAAATCTAAAGAAATTAATTAAAGATATCTAAAGCATAATAGCATTTTTACATATAAACAAAAAACCACAAAGTACTCTATCTTAATATGCACTGATTCTTCCAAGAATGCAATTATAGGGTAAGTTGGGAGAAGATAGTATTTTGTTTTCTGGACAACTTTATCAGTTGCTTATCATTTCAGAAAGTCTTGTCATTAAGTGTAATGTCACTTGCGGGTCTGGGTCCCTGATCCACCACATCCGTGTTCATCTCTATTGCCTGTGTTTCTCCATAACAATGCTACACATAGATGCAGGCATCAGAGGACTTAGTTGTCATTTCTCCTGTCAGTCTGTACAAGCATCTACATATTGAGACACATGTTATTATATTATAAATTACTTCCTTTCTATTTCTCCTTTGCATTTTGTTGTTGTTGTTGTTAAGTGCCGTCAAGTTGCAGGTGACTCATAGCGACCCTATGAAGGACAGTCCTCGAAGCTTGGGTGCCTTTCATCCTCTCTCCAGGTTCATAGGGTTTCCGGAGGCAAGCTATTACGGAAGTGGATGCCACACCTCCTTCCACTGCATTTTAGATTAGGGTATTTAACATACCATTTTGAAGTCATGTGTATAGGTGGGCTATCTTTTCTATAAATTTAATGAAAAGGAGAATGATCATTATAAACTCTTTGTTTTAGAAAAAAGGATTCTTCTGGTGTTTGACCCTATTACCATTTCATAGCCAGAGAGAGATAGATCCTCTCTGGCCACAAACCTAACCTAACAAACATCCTGTCTTGAATAAAACCTCTTACTGAGTTACCTCTGCTATTAAGATAGATTTGAGTTTCAGGAAAACAATCTAGAAAAATTCCTGGGCCCAGCTCACAGAGAATATGGGTACAAATTCTCACCCTGTTGACACCTTAACCCTACCAGAACTAGTCTGGGACCATAATCTCCCAAAGACCAGGGCGGAAGGTGCCAGAGTCCCCCTAGGTCCCTGCAAGCCCCTACCACACTGGTCAACTCAACTCTGTCAAGTCAGGTCTGACAGGTCAGCTCAACTCTGCTGCCAACATCCCGACCTCTGCCTGAGTGGTTTGGTTTGGTTTTTTTTTTTGGATCAGAAAAAGAATAACGATTTCCTACCTACCCCAGGAACATCCCTCAGCCAGTAACTACTGAGGAGGGGTGTTGAATTAGTAGCCCTTAAGCTGGGAATATTCCGAGGTGTGTGCTCCACACCAGCTCCCCGAGGTCCCCAGCAGGAGGATGCTCTAGATGTCCATAGTAGTAAGGGGCTTTATTGCACAAACTTTCCTGACTCCTTCCCTTCCCTGCCACATAAAGTTGTACTTAAATCTTTGTCTGGAGGCTGGCTCCTGCAGGAACACAGGCGAAGGTGCTGATCAGCTTCACTGGAGTCCCAAAAGCTGCTCAGCAATTATGTTTGCAGAGTCTGTCCCCCAAAGGGGAAAAGGACCCGTGGGGCACTCCCACACCAGGCCAGCGCCCCCTCCCTGTCCCCAGGCTGGGCTGACACTCACCACTTGACAGCCAGGTTCTGCACCTCCCCGTTCTTGTCCTCCAGAAGCTTGAGCAGCATCTTCACCACCTTGCGCTCACTGTCCTCATCCAGCTGGATCGAGTCCTTCTGCAGCTCCGACATCAGGTCGCTGGTAGCCATGAACCTGAGCACAGAAAGCAAAAGATTGCCTACCAGGTCTCTGACCCCAGGGATTTGGGGAAGGTTTTAGAATCAGCCAGAAGCAACTCTTGATACAAAGACTGGAAGCCAAGGCTATTTGGGTTACTGCTCATAGTGACCCCAGTCACAACATGTAACGCTAGGAGGTGGCATGGCATATTGGCTAAATGTTTAGGGGTGCACAGTTCGCAGACTCTGCCATTTATAAGTAGGTAAATGCAGCAAGTCTTAATTTCACTGGTCTCAAAAATAAGAAAGTAAGGGGGATATGAAATGCTTGTTGCAAAGACCAAGAACTTCAGTTATCACTGTGAATTATATCTTAACATCAAAACCCCACAACTTGTATTCAGGATTGTACTGGAAGTGCTTGTTATGGCAAAGCTACAAGATAAGGAAATAAAAGATATCCAGATCAGCAAAGCGATGGTTAAACTGTCGCTTTATGCAGATAATATGATAGTGTACACAGAAAACTCCAAAGACTCAACCAAAAAACGTTAGATCAATTTAGTAGATCAATTTAGCAGAGTGGCAGGAGGTAGTATCAATATCCAAAAATAAGTGGGATTCCTCTAAAGTAACAAAGAGATGAAATCATTGACAATTAAGATCTCTTCTCCATCTATCATGATGTTGTCTTTTGGCCTGATGGTGAAGACTTTTCCCCCTCTTAATGTTGTGATGTAACCCACAATAAAGGCTTTAGTCTTTGATCCTCTGAAGCAAACACTTCAATTCTCCTAACTTTCGGCAAGCAAGGTTGTGTCAACTGTACAATGCAAGTTATTGATGAGTCTTCCGCTAAGCCTGATGCCATATTTTTCTTTACATAGCCCAGCAAGTAATTTGTCCTGTAGACAGATTGAATAGGTATTAAGAATGAATACAGCCCTGACACACACCTTTACTGATTTTAAACCATGTCATACCCTCTTCTCTGTTCACGTCACAGCTTCTTGGTCTAGGTCTAGGTTTCATATTAGCACAATTAAAGAGTTCTGGGATTCTTATTCTTCTTAAAGTCAGCCATAATGTATATGCATGTGTATGATTTTATGAACATATATATTCATGTATAAAAATAAAGCACATGGGGGTATACAGTTACAAATATTCTTAGACATAAACACCTTCTAGATTGGGTTTGAGGGATTAAGACCGCAGTCTTATTGAATATCTCATTCAATTGACATAATATAATTATTGTTGTTATGTGCCGTTGAATCGTTTGCGACTCATAGCGACCCTATGTACAACAGCCCTAAACCCTGCTCTATCCTGTGCCAATCGCATTGCTTCTGACACACGCATCCTGATTACCCCAGTCACTGAATCAATCCACCTCATAGAGGATCTTCCCCTCCTGCGCTGTCCCTCCACCCTACCAAACATGATGCCCCTCTCCAAGGACCCTTCTCTCCTTACAACATGTCCAAAGTATATCAGATGAAACCCCAGAATCCTTGCCTCCAAGGAGTAGCCTGGTTTAACCCTCTCCAGGATGAATCTGTTCGTTTTCCTGGCAGTCCAGGGTACATTCAGTACCCTTCTCCAGCACCACAGCTCAAAGGCATCAATTCTCCTTCTATCCTCCCTAGTCATTGTCCAACTCTCTGATGCATAATAAGCGATTGCAAAGACCATGGCCTGTATCAGGAACACCTTAGTCTCCAGAGAGACACCATTGCTCTTGAGTACTTTAGAGAGGTCCCTAACAACAGACTTTCCCATCGTAATACATTTTTTCATTTCCTGGCTGCTGGTGCCAAGAGTGTTGACCATGGAGCAGAGCAAACTGAAGCTATGAACAATCTCAATCTCATCGCCATCCATCCTGATGCTGCCAACTGGTCCAGCGGTGAGAATCTTTGTCTTCTTGACATTGAGCCTCAGTCCATACTGAAGGCTGCAGTCCTTGACCCTTCGCAGCAAGTGCATGAGGTCCTCCTCAGTTTCAGGAAGCAGGGTTGTGTCTTCTGCATAACGCAGATTGTTGATAGATCGTCCACCAATCCTGACGCCACACTTCTCCTCATGAAGTTATATATCCTATTTTGGTGAATTGTATCTGGATTATTTTAAAAGCTTGTAAGTGGTCATCTAAGATATAATAATGAGTCTTTAATCATTTGGAGGAAAAGAGAAAGAAAAATACCAGACTCAGAGAAGAAACAAGTCTATAGAATAAATAGATCAGAGGAGCTTGATGGTACCCAGATACCAAGAATGCTCCTTCTAATTACGGTCACAGTAGATGGATCCTGATAGAATGTGTGAGAAATGTGGAAGAGAATCTCAGACTCCTAAACAAAAAAAATTGCTGGATTGATTGTTTGAGCCACTAATCAAGGTCACCTTGAAGCAGAACAATAGGATGGCTCACACACAAAAAGAATAATATCAACCATAAGGACTATGCTCCTTTAAAAAACAATATAAACAAATAAAACACCTATATGATACCAGCTGTCAACAATTATTTTAAAACAAAGACAGAATGTAAGGGAGCTGGGAAACTAGAGGAATGGAAGCAAACAACCAGAAAAGAAAGAATGAAAACGTTCTTGTTTGGGGAAGAGTGCAACCAATGTCACTGAACAACACGTA